AAGGGCCAAATCAGCAGCTGCAGGGAGACTTCTCCTGCTTATTGAATATATTTCAGAACATTGACAGGGCCTATTGTGTTACCAAACCCCACACAGAGATTACAATGGATTTTCTAACAACAGTCAATGAAGGAAAGATACCAGCTGCCCATACACGAGGACCACACTGTGGGGTTTGGTCTGCCAAGAACAGTGGCTATTGGCCTGAGAAGCACTTAAGTCAGAGACTTGCATGGTTATTTGTCCTTATTTGGCTGCACTGTCTGATCAGAATAAATCCTGCAAAATAGTTAAGACTTCACCTTTTATTTTATTGGAACACACCATAGTTGACCCTATCTGGAGTCCCTGTGAGATGATCAGAAAAGCTTTTGGCTTCTTTGCAAAATTAATTCACAGACCCATAAAGGCAAAAGAGGAGATTCCCTTCAGTGATGTCTAAGGAAGGAGAAGGGTTTTTTTCTTTCTTTCAAATGCTCGTGAATGCAACAGGGAGGGGGCACTTGACCTCTCCGCTGTGTAACACATTGTCTAGGTATTTGCTCGGCTTTGGAGGTTGCCCACGAAAGTTATCAAACATTATCTCATTTGAATGAATGTTTAAAAAATACAAAGAGTTGAAATGAAAATGTTGGAAGGTTTTCTCTTTCACTGAACAGCTGGTTTTTATATGCTTTCTCTCTAATGTTGTAAACAGTTTTTATACAAAACAGTCACAACAACAAATGCTTTTTAAAAAGGTTTTGCTTGACAGAGCAGCTTCAGGCCATGATCCAGTGCTTTAAGGTGGCGTTTTCCTGAAGAAGTTAGTCAATGTTTCATTTTACAGATTCAAAATGTGCTTACAGACCGCCTGGAGGGGTGGGATAGGGAGGGTGGGAGGGAGGGAGACACAAGAGGGAAGAGATATGGGAACATATGTATATGTATAACTGATTCACTTTGTTATAAAGCAGAAACTAACACACCATTGTAAAGCAATTAGACTCCAATAAAGATGTAAAAAAAAAAAAGTGTGCTTATAAAGTACTGAGAAAGATTTTTTTTTTTTTTTTGCGATATGTGGGCCTCTCACTGTCGTGGCCTTTCCCATTGCCGGACGCGCAAGCTCAGCGCCCATGGCTCACGGGCCCAGCCGCTCCGCGGCATGTGGGATCCTCCCGGACCGGGGCACGAACCCGTATCCCCTGCATCGGCAGGCGGACTCTCAACCACTGCGCCACCAGGGAGGCCCGAGAAAGATTTTTAATAAATTTATTTATTTAATTTTGGGTGTGTTGGGTCTTCGTTTCTGTGCGAGGGCTTTCTCTCGCTGCGGCTAGTGGGGGCCACTCTTCATCGCGGTGTGCGGGCCTCTCACTGTCGCGGCCTCTCTTGTTGCAGAGCACAGGCTCCAGATGCGCAGGCTCAGTAACTGTGGCTCACGGGCCTAGTTGCTCCGCGGCATGTGGGATCTTCCCGGACCAGGGCTCGAACCCGTGTCCCCTGCATTGGCAGGCGGACTCTCAACCACTGCGCCACCAGAGAAGCCCCTGAGATAGATTTTTATTCAAAGACACCAAGTGGGTTGTGTTCCCTTCAGGGAAGTCATCTAAAGAGACTGTTTGCTTCTTTCACTCCCTTGGCCACCGTTGGTACATCCTCTGATTCCCCCCAGCATGGGCTTGAGAGCCAAGATGGTGGAGATGGTTGGTCTGTGTTCACCAGATCCAGCTCTCCTCTCCTTCCTGGACAGACAGAAAGCAGCACTAGTCAGCTCCCTTGCCCTTAGGCAGGGCCCGAGGACTCATTCTGTCCAACAGAAGTATATCTGAAATGACCTGTAAAGTGGGTCTGAGGCAGGACAAAGCTCCCCAGGTTCTCTGCATTCTCTCTTGTTGCCATAGCAACCGAAACCACCAGTTCCAGTGGGGCTGAAAGGTGGAAGTAGCCTGAAGCTCTGAGTCACCACTCAGAAGGGAGATACCTGGAGAACCCCTGGACCCATAGAGGACTTCATATGAATGAGAAATAATCCTTTCGTTTTAAGCCGCTGATACTTTGGGATTTGCTTGTAATCACAACGTGGCCTATTTTGACCACACTAATACAACAATGTTGGAATCTACACAGGAAAATCACTTCCACATTTTACTTTCACATCAGTGAAGAGTTCCATCTCATTTCAAAATACTCATTTGTTAGTTTCGTTATCTTTGAAATGCTTTGAAAATCATTACAAATGAATTTTGTTTCGCTATTTTAAAAAATCAGATCAAAAATAAAAAGCTTGCCTCCATACGTAAACATCGTGAGCTAAGGCAGCCCTGTTCTAGAGCCTCCACTGACAATTACTCAGAAGATTTAGAGTAATTTGGCTCTCTAAGTTTTGGTGTAATATTAAAAATCAGTCATCTTACTTTATGGTTGTAACTTTCTTTTTGTATGTATTTCTAGATTTTGAAAATTCAGTCCAAGTAATTTAAGACACACGAGCTCGTAGTTTAGTCAAAATATTATCTGATATCACCCTTAGAACTAATTAATAATAATTGCTATCACATTGAATGATTCCTAACCTATGTTATATCTAACTTTGCAAGCATTATATCTAAACCTCAAAATATCCCACTGAATTAGTTAGGGTTCTTTAGAGAAACAGAACCAAAAGGGCGCTGAGGTGTCCAGAATGTACAACAGTGGCATAAAAATTATTTTGAGCTGAAGTTATTTGAGAGTCAACAGATGCAGGTTTTGAACTCCCCTTTGTCTGCCTTTAAGATAAGCAGAGGCTTGGGAAAAAACTCAACTCATAAATCTTCTCTCCGGGAATTTCAGGAGTTTTGGAACCAGGAAAGATCGACTCTTATCACCAGTGACAGAACTCAGCACCACACCTAAATAGACATTGCCACAAAGCTATCATATCTCCCATCTATTCTTCTAAGGGCCATTTATCTTTCCTAAAAGTCAACTGTTCTCCCATAAGTGCCCTTACCCCACTATTTCAAAGAAGTCATTTGTTTCCCTGTAAGTGACCTTCTCCCCCTCCCCCTTCCCTATTAAATGGAACATAAGCCCTCAATTCTCACTGCCACCTAGTTACACTTTTTTTTTTTTTTGCGGTACGCGGGCCTCTCACTGCCGTGGCCTCTCCTGTTGCGGAGCACAGGCTCCGGACCCGCAGGCTCAGCAGCCATGGCTCACGGGCCCAGCCGCTCCGCGGCATGTGGGATCTTCCCGGACCGGGGCACGAACCCGTGTTCCCTGCATCGGCAGGCGGACTCTCAACCACTAGTGCCACCAGGGAAGCCCCCTAGTTACACTTTTTTGTGAATTCTTGTGTATGTACATAAATAAAAATCTGTCTTTTCTCTTGCTAATCATCTTTTGGCAGTTTAATTTTTAGGCTTCCATTCCTAAACCTAAGAGGGTAGAAGAAAAGTTCTTTCCTCTCCCCCTAGTACATGTGTATGTATGAGAGAGAGAGAGAGAGAGAGAGAGAGAGAGAGAGAGAGAGAGAGAGAGAGTTTATTTTAAGGAACTGGCTCAGGCAATTGTGGAGGCTTGGCAAGTTCAAATTCTGCAAGGTAGGCTGTGTGGCTGGAGACTCAGGGAAGAGTCACAGTTCAAGTTCAAAGGTGGTTTGCTGGCAGAATTCCTTCTCCCAGGGAGGTCAGTCCTTTTCTATTAAGGCCTTCAACATAATGAAGAATAACCTGCTTTACTCAAAACCTACACATTTATATGTTAATCTTACCTAAAAAATACCTGCACAGAAACATCTAGAATAGTGTTTGATCAAATATCTGAGTACTGTGGCCTAGTCAAGTTAAGACATAAAATTAACAATCACACCCACAAAAAACCCCATTTTATATATGAGGATATTGAGACTCCAAGAAAGTAATTCAGTTGCTCAGGGTAAAATGATCAGTATGTAGCCAGGCTGGGATGTGAGTCTATGTCTGTGACTTGAAAACCCTTGGTTTTCTCCTTACATAACACAGTTACTCACTGCCAAGGGTCTTTTCATAGGTCAGGTTTTCTTATTTTTTTCTTCTAAAATATCTTGATCTTATTATTCCTTTGTACGCAATAAAACTTGACTTTCCTCAAAACTAATTTCAACTGTACTTAACATAGCTGGCAACATCATATGTACTTAATAAATATTTGTTGACTGATTAATGATATTTTACAGAGATGTTTAAAGGGGCAGAATCTTTCACTTTAAAATACATCTTGGAGGACTTCCCTGGTGGTGCAGTTGTTAAGAATCCACCTGCCAAGGCAGGGGACACGGGTTCAAGCCCTGGTCTGGGAAGATCCCACATGCTGTGGAGCAACTAAGCCCATGTGCCACAACTACTGAGCCCGCGTGCCACAACTACTGAACCCCACGTGCCTAGAGCCCATGCTCAGCAACAGGAGAAGCCACCGCAATACGAAGCCAGTGCACGGCAATGAAGAGTAGCCCCGGCTCGTTGCAACTAGAGAAAACCTGCGTGCAGCAACGAAGACCCAGCACAGCCAAAAATAAATAAATAAATAAAATAAAATTTAAAAACTGCAGTATTTATTTTTAAAAAAATACGTCTTGGGGCTTCCCTGGTGGCGCAGTGGTTGAGAGTCCGCCTGCCGATGCAGGGAACACGGGTTCATGCCCCGGTCCGGGAAGATCCCACATGCCGCAGAGTGGCTGGGCCCGTGAGCCATGGCCTCTGAGCCTGTGCGTCCGGAGCCTGTGCTCTGCAATGGGAGAGGCCACAACAGTGAGAGGCCCGCGTAACGCAAAAAATAAAAAAAAAATAAAAAAAATAAAACATCTTGGAGATTGTTCCATATCAAGTGTTCATAGTGTTTGAAAGTGTGGAAAATACTTAACCACGTAATATACAAATAATAACAAGAAAATACTACTACTACTTAATCGCAAGCCTTTGTCATTAATCCAAAGTATTCTCCAAATCCCTGTGGAAATGCTGACATCACTAATCATGTCTTTATATGATAGTTACCTGCTTCCTAAGCGTTGCTCTGGTGTCTTAGCCAAGAAGAGTCTGCAAATGTCTTTTGCTTCCTCTGTGAAGTTATCGTGTTGGAATCTGACTTCCTCTTTCAGTGTTCTTTGCTTTAAATCCTCTTTACTGACTTTTTCCTTGTAATCTTTGAATGGTGTTCGTCCAGCAACCATTTCATAAATACTGCATCCCATTGCAAACCAGTCCACAGGATAGGAATAATTCGCTTTTTCCATTAGGATTTCAGGAGCCATATAACCATTGGTTCCAGCCTGTAATGCCCCAAACAAAAACAAAACAAAATAAAAACACTAGTGTGAGTTGAACAGACACTGCTGACAGCCTACGCAATACCCTTTCTCCTTTTCTTTCCTTGTTGAGGGAACCCTAATTTACTTGGAGTGGCCATGTGTCTAACCTATTCTATTCCTTGCTTTCCCAGCAGCCTCTGGTGCAGTCAGGGCAGGCCATGCAATCCATTCTGGCCAATGAGACATAAAAAGGATTTGGTTGGAGTGCATTATGAAAGAGAGAGATACGGCTGATCTTGAAGTGGGAAAATCACCTAGACTCTCTTAGTCCCCTCACCTCATCTTTAAGGTAAAAAGTTCACGTGGCTGTCTCGAAGATCCCCTAAGTCCTGCTTCTGCTTTTTATTCACAGATAATAGAAAATTAGATGCATGATTTTTTTTAAGTGGAGTTCTTTATTGCTAATATTGGACGTTCACATAATATTATCTAGTCTATGATTTTTTTACTCTATTTGCTATGTAATGATACTAAAATATCAGCCATCTTTGGCTGTTTGTCTCTGCACTGAAAATTTAATACAGAAATTTTAATCCATAAAATTCCACACATGAAACTTCATTTAACATGCAAGACTATATATTGTAGGCACACTTCTACTGACAATATATACCAAATGACCATTGGGTTAATGTGTGTGTATATATATATATATATATATATATATATATATATATATATATATATATATATATATATATATACACGTAGCACACAATTTACTCTATGTGTGTGTATATATATATATATATATATATATATATATATATATATATATATATATATATATATTTAAATACACGTAGCATACAATTTACCATCTTACCATTTTAAGTGTTTAGTTAAAGAGTATTAAGTACATTTATGTTGTGCAATGAATCTCCAGAACTCTTCATCTTAAAAAGCTGAAACTCTATACCCATTAAGCAATTCCCCATTGGGCTTCCCTGGTGGTGCAGTGGTTAAGAATCTGCCTGCCAATGTAGGGGACACGGGTTCGAGCCCTGGTCCAGGAAGATCCCACATGCCGTGGAGCAACTAAGCCTGTGCATCACAACTACTGAGCCTGCGCTCTACAGCCCATGAACCACAACTACTGAGACCACGTGCCACAACTACTGAAGCCTGCGCACCTAGAGCCTGTGCTCTGCAACAAGAGAAGCCACCACAATGAGAAGCCTGAGCACTGCAACAAAGAGTATCGCCCGCTCGCCGCAACTAGAGAAAGCCCGCGTGAAGCAACGAAGACCCAACGCAGCCAAACAAAACAAAGCAAAACAAACAAACAAAAACCCCCAAAACAATTCCCCATTACCCCAACTCCCCAGGCCCTGGCAACCGCCGTTCTACTTTCTGTCTCTATGAATCTGACTATTCTAGGTACCTCGTATAAGTGGAATCATGCAGCATCTGTCTCTTTGTAACTGAGTAGAATTTCAATACGTTCATTCATTCAACAAATATTTAATGAATACCTGCAACATACCTTGTAATTATAAAGTATATACTTACATTATAATATGTTTTCATAAAAACTAAGCTGCTTTTGATTAAAGTATAACATTTGCAGCACTTAAAAATGCAAAGAACACCCTGAAATGACAATAAGCTTCTATTAATATTTACATAAAAATGAGAACATAAAGTATTGGCAGAGTTGTGAGAAACAGATGTGCTCTGTAATTTGACTTAGATTTTTAGGAGAGCAGTAAGACACAGAGCATAGACAATGAGATGTATCAACTGTTCCTGTTCTTCAACCAGGTCACTTGACTTTGGAGCAAGTAGCTCAAATAATTGATTCAGAAGAAAGGGAAAGGAATCTACATCGCGATGTTCGTAGCGTCATTATTCATAATGGTTGCAAGCTGGAAACACCCAATGCCTTTCAATAAAGACAATAGACCAGGAGACTTCCCTGGCAGTCCAGTGGTTAAGACTCTGTACTCCCACTGTAGGGGGCACGCCCACATGCCCGCCATGCAACCAGAAAAAAAAAAAAAAAAAGACTAGAGTCTAGTGTTAATACCAAGAAGTGCATATATGTAATGGGTTTCGCATACTGATTATACTGATTATAAATGTGAATTCAGTACATCAAAAAAGGTTGGAAAGTATTTTTAGTTGTTTACTGGGTGATTTTTTTTCTGTCTAGTTGCTTAAATATCTGTTTTTAATGTACACAATATATGTAATACCTTAGGAATATTAAATTTCATGGATGATTTTTACATGGATAACAACAATGAAAAACATAAATGACCTAAGGACTAATGAGGAGTAATTGGCTTGAACAAGAAAATTGTGGAAGTGACCTTGGTCTGACAGGCTGGGCATGAGTCAGCATGGCACTGCTGTTTCCGTAGGAGCGTGTATGTAATTTGGGTGGCCATATGTTCCAGTTGGCCTGGGACAACAGTTTACATCTGTTGTCCTGGCATCTTGTTCAGTGTTACGTCTGCCCAAACAAAAGGGTACTGTAGGCTCCTCTGAGGCCCAGGATACAGTCATACTCATCTTTGTATCAAACTGGGTATTTACCCCTGAGCCTCCCTTGCTGCACGCCCAACAAAATGTTTCTTACGTAAACAATAGTGAAGACGGTAACTAGATGTTTTCCATCCACTATCCAACAAATATTTGTTAAGCTACACCCTGCAGTGATTTCTAGGGATACCAAGACATACTAGGCCTGGCCCCTGACCTTGAGGATTTATAGGCTGGTGGAGACAGGTCAGAAGGTTAATTCAGTAAAGGAGGGTAAATGCCTTAATGGGAGTGGAAAACAAACATAGGGAGGCCAGAGGCTGTGTGTGTGTGTGTGTGTGTGTGTGTGTGTGTGAATGTGTGTGTTGGGGACACTTCACTGAAAAGTGACAGCTGAGCTGAATTATGAGGGAAGAACCTTCTCACAAAGAGAAGGCTGTCCAGGTAATGGCCATGTGCAAGAGATGGAGTCCGGAAAAATGTGGGGTGTTCGGGGAACTTTAAGTAATTTGGCATTTCTGGAGTATAAGCTCTGTGGGATGCAATGGTGGGAGGGGAGACTGGAGGGGGAGATGTAGATGAAATTGAGAAACACTGTCTGCCAAGGTGGCAAAAGTCCATTCCCAGGCTCCCTTTTCCCTTTGTCCCTTTACTATAGAGTCTGAAGGCTAAGCACTCCATCTCCCAGACTCACGTGTTGCACCCAGGGTGGCCGTGTGATAATGTGATATGAGATTCACTTGAGAGGTGCGCAAGGTGAAGGCACTGACGGTTGGGAAAAAGCTTAGAAAATGGGGGAAATATCCAGTGAGAAGACGAGTAAAACTTAAAGTAAGTCCTTCATAATGTTTAGTTTTCATGTAACAAATACACACTCATTTTTTAAATATCTCATTTTTAAAAGCTCATTCTCTAATTTTAAGTACTTTGGAAAGGAAAAAAGTAATATTTATCAGAGGAAAAAGAAAGTTAACTAGGCCAGAAAATAAGATATATATTTATAAATTTCTTATGTCAGAGAGCATGGTATTAAAAATGTGAAGGTCAAAGCACATGTTAAACAAAAAACACTGCAAATTTTTCATCGTTGCTCTTATTATCTTATGTAACCTCACCCTGAATGACTCAGAATTTTGTGTGCTCAACAACAACAGCAAAATGGGGGAAATACATGAAAGATATAAGATGGATTAATGGATCAACAGAGGGATGGATAGATGGATGGACATGTGATAAAGCAAGTCTAATAAAATGTTAATAATGCACAATGGAATATTGCTCAGCTATAAAAAAGAATGAAGTGTTGACACATGTTATGACATGCATGAACCCTGAAAACGTTATGCTGAGTGAAAGAAGCCAGTCACCAAAGACCACTTACTGTAGGATTCCATTGAAATGCAATATCTAAAATTGCATGCAACCAATTTTAGTGGTTGTTTAGGGTTGGGAGAAGGGGAATGGGACTGATTGCTAATGGGTAGGGGGGTTCTTTTGGGGGTGCAGAAAATATTCTAAAATTGTGATAATGTTTGTATATCTCTGTGAATATTCTAGAAACCATTGAACTGTACACTTTAAATGGGTCAATTTTATGGTATTTAAATTACATCTCAATAAAGCTGTTTAAAATGTCAAAGGTGAACTCTAGGTCATGGGTGTACAGGTGCTCGCTGTGAATTCCTTCAACTTCCCTGTATGTCTGAAAGTTTTCATAATAGAATGCACAGGGGAAAAAGGAGTAAGGGGTGGGGGGATGTGACACCAGACGTTACCACACTGGCTGCTAGTTCATGAGGCACATGAAACTCTTCTGCAAGAGTCACAAGGAAGAACCACAGGGGAGAGCAGAGGAGGGGCATCTATCTGCCCAGCTCCCTCCCATCTCCTACTTCCATTAGTCAATAGTTGACCCCATATGATATCACTTATATGTGGAATCTAAAAGATACAACAAACAAGTGAATATAACAAAAAAGAAGCAGACTCACAGATACAGAGAAGGAGCTAGTGGTTACCAGTGGGGAGAGGGAAGGGGGGAGGGGCAACATAGGGGTAGGGCTTTAAGAGGTACAAACTAATAGGTATAAACTAAGCTACAAGGATACATTGTACAACATAGGGAATATAGCCAATATTTTATAATAACTATAAATGGAGTATGACCTTTAAAAATTGTGAATCACTATACTGTACACCTATAACATATAATATTGTACAACAACAATATCTCAATTAAAAAAAAGAAATGTCATTTTGAATTCTCTGACATGTAAATGTTTAATCATATATTGAGATTATATATCACTAAAAATAATAAAAAATAGAATTGTTAAAAGCATGAAATAAAAAAGAATTATCCTAAAGAATTATCCTTGTCTCTATTTCCAGATATGTCCTCCAGACCCTTAGCAGTTGCCTGGAAAACCAGGTCCCACATCATACTACAGTATAATATTTCACCCAGCTCTAAA